ACAAACTAAGGTTATAATAATACTAGAACATCCTTTTGTTTTCTGTCTCTTTATTGACATTTCCATTTTGTTCATACATCATTTTCTTGATTTTGTCCATGTCTTCTTTTAGCTCTTTGATCATCTTTAAGATAGTTGTTTTAAACTATCTTTAAGATAGTTGTTCAGTAAGTCTACTATCTGGCCTTTCTCAGAGATAGTCTCTGTAGATGCACTACATCAGGCACATTCTGCAGGGCCGATTGTTGTCAACTACAGGTGGGAGACAGATTCCTGGTGCTACTGACACCACTATCTTCTCTCTGGCTCCCATCTGTAGTGTTTTTTGGTACTGTTTTTTATCTGGCTTAGATATCAGTGTTAAAACTTGTTTCATAGAAAGTTTTTAGAAGTTTTCTCTCATTTATAATACTTTGGAACAATTTATGGAGAATTGTGATTATCAGGTCTTTGAAATTTCCTTGTGAAACCATTTGGGCTTGGTGGAGTTTTTTGTTGCTGTTGCTGTTTGTTTGTTTTGTGGGGATAAATTTCTCTAATTCTTGCTAACTTTCTCTAATTATTTCATGGATATTGAAATACTTGAGCTTTTTCTTTTTATCTATTAGAGTTAATTTCAGTAATCTTTATTTTCCTAGAAATTTATCCATTTCATCTAGATTTTCAAATTTATTGTATAGAGGTCTTTAAAGTAGCCTTTTATAATATTTCAAAAAAAATTCTCTTTCAGTAGTAATTTTCCTTTGCCATTTCTTAATTTATAAATATATGCACATTATCTTTTTTCTTGATCAAGTTAACTCATGATTTGTCTTTGTGAATTGTTTTTGTTTTTTTAAATCAGGATTTCAATTTATTAATTATGTTTGCTATTTCTTTTACCTCATTATTTTCTGCTTTTATCTTTATTCTTTTATTATTTTCTTCCTTGAATTTTCTTTTACTTTACTATTTTTGTGCTTTTCTATTTTGTTGGAACTGGGAATTTCATTCATTTTCATTCTTTCATTGATAGAAATGTTTAGTGTTATTAATTTTCCTATGATCACTTTAAATGTATCTCCATGAGTCTGACATATAGTGTTTTCATTATCATTATTTATTTTAGAAATTCTGTAATATCAGTTTGTGTTTCCCCCTTTATCCAAGATTTACATAATAAATTAAAAATTTTCCAAGTATATGGTCTTTAAAAAAATAAGAATATAATCTCTAATTTTATCACACAGAGTATTGTTTGTAATAGTTCTACTTTATGGAAGTTACTGTTATTTTCTTTAAGACCTTATACATGATCAATTGTTGTGAAGGTGTATTCTTTATTATCAGGGTATAGAGTTTGAGATCCCTCTCTCTCTTTCTCTCTCTCTCATTCTCTGATAAGCTTTTGTTATTTAGACCTTCTATATCTTTTGCCCATTTATCTATCTTATCCTGAGAGTGGTGTGTGGTCTCCTATTATTAGTTTGTCTGTCAATGTCTCCTTGCCTCTCTTATAGTTTTTGCTTTATAAAGACAGTTGTAGTGTTGTCTGGTGCATAGATGTTTATAACAGTTATGTCTGCATTGTAAATTCTAGTGTTCAAAAATATTCTTATTAGTCATGTTCACACTTATTTTTGCTAGAATTATCTGTCTGATATTATAATCTCTATCCCTATTTGTTTATTGCCTTCATCCCTTTACTTTAGCCTCTCTGAATTTTGGTGGATCTCTTGTATACAGCATATAGTTGGGTCTTGATTTTGAGCCAAATTGAAAACTTTTTTGTTTTAGTAGACAAGTTAAGCCCATTCTCATTTATTTCCATATTGTGTTTGATCTTACTCTGTCATTATACTTTATAATTATGTTTGTTACAGTGTATATTTTCATTCTTTCTATATGTGGTATGTATTCTTTTCCCTTTAATTTTATTATTTTTAAGAGATGGAGTCTTGCTCTAATACCCAAGCTGGAGTATAGTGGCCTGATCATAGCTCACTGTAACCTCCAACTCCAGGGTTTAAGTAATCCTCTCACCTCAGCCTCTTGAGTGGCGAAGATTACAGGCATATGCCACCATGCTTGGCTAATATTTTATTTTTTGTAGAGATGGGGTCTCACTATGTTGCCCAGGCTGGTCTTAAACTTCTGGCCTTGGCTGGGGACAGTGGCTCATGCCTGTATTCCTAGCACTCAGGGAGGCCGAGATGGGAGGATCACTTGAGGTCAGGAGTTTGAGACCAGCCTAAGCATGAGCAAGACCCTGTCTCTAAAATCAACAAACAAACAAATAAATAAAAACAAATAAAATTTAAAAAAATAAAAACAATTTTAAAAAAGAAAAAAGAAAATATTAAAAAGAAGAAAGAACTTCTGGCCTTAAACAATCATCCCCCCTCAGCTTCCAAAAGTGCTAGGATTATAGGCATGAGCCATTGTGCCTGACTACCTTAGTTCTTAATTTTTTCTTTCTTCTTTGGTGTTTAGGAAGGATTATGTTTTTATTCCTGTCACATTACCTTTGTATTTATTCCCTTTTAAAAAGCCATTAGGCCCTCATTTCTAATTTGATCATTCATTAATCAGTTTGTCAGTTTTTAATAGCATCATTTAACTTCTATGTGTTTGTATAAAACAAGTGATGAGGTTATTCCACTTTTCTCAGTCCCTCTTCCTCTCCCTCTCCACCCATTTTTCAGTTGCATTATTTCTACTTTGTCACAACATATACCATATACATTAGTCTTCCACTCTTGTCTTAGATCTATGATTACATATATAAAAATGCTCGTTTCAGTTGTTTTGATAACATTTCCTAGCCATCTCTTAGTTGGAGGAAGGAAGCTTATTTTCTAGTCGATTTCTCTAGAAAGGCTTATGGGTAAAGAATTCCCTTAGTTTTTATATATTTAAAACTGTTTTTCTGTAGCATTGATGCTAGAAGGGCACCTTGGCTAAATATGAAATTCATGATTCACACTTTGTTTCATTGAATTTCTGAAAAATGCTGCTCCATTGCTGCCTTGCTTTGTATGTTGTTATTGAGAATTCTGATACCAATGTAATCCTTTTGTCCTTATAAGCTATTTGATCTTTTTTGACTGGAGGCCTGGCAATTTTTTCCTTTATCTTGAAGTCTAATAGTTTTACTGTAATATGTCTCAGAATTGACTGTTCTGGTTTAATTTTTCCAGACATCTGGCATATGCTTTCAATATATTAATTTGGTTCTTTTTCGATTTCTAGAATCTTTTCAGTATTAGTTCCATTCCGTTGTATTATTTTTCTCTTTCAAGACTCTATTCTTTCCTGGCTTGTAACTCATGACTTTCTCTGTGACCTTTTTTAATTTTTTAATTTTTTTGAGACAGAGTCTCACTCTTTTGCACTGGTTAGAGTGCCATGGCATCAGCCTAGCTCACAGCAACCTCAAACTCCTGGGCTCAAATGATCCTCCTGCCTCAGCCTCCAAGGTATCTGGGACTACAGGTGCATGCCACCATGCCCAGCTAATTTTTTCTATATATTTTTAGTTGGCCAATTAATTTCTTTCTACTTATAGTAGAGATGGGGTCTCACTGCTCAGGCTGGTTTCTAACTCCTGACCTTGGGCGATCCTCCTGCCTTGGCCTCCCAGAATGCTAGGATTATAGGCATGAGCCACTGCACCCGGCCTCTCTGTGACTTTTTTACTTCTTTCACTAACTCCTTTTCATTCTCTTATCCAAGGTCACCGTGCAAGCAAGTGGTGGAACAGAATTCAGCCCGAGTTCCTCCAGCTCTGAAGTGCCCATTCCACTGTCACTTTGTCTCGTGGGGGGCAAGGCCACTCTCACTGGCTTGCCACGTGTGAGCCCAAACCATTTCTTTGCCTTGTGATCTATTACGTTCTCATGGCAGTGGGGCCGGCTCCCTGGCATGACGATAGTGACTGCTGGCATTTGGGGTCACTTGGAGCTTGGATGCTCACAGGCCAACAGTATCAGCGCAGCCACTTGGAAATGACAGGCTGCTCAAGGGATTCTGAGTGGAAGAACTTCTGGGAGGCTGCTCAGCTCTGCTGGCAGATGCACACCCAGACCCACCGTTTGTCGGTGGGTGTTCTGCGTGACAGTCTCCCATGCGGGCGGGGATTGCTCGGGCCTGGCTGTGAGCGAGGGACATTGGTGGGGCCTCACTGCTCCATGAGTCTGCCTCTTAGTTCTTGGACTTCTGTTCATTCACTGCTGTAGGGTGCCATGGTTTGTTTGGAAAGCTCATCTCCAACTTCATTTAGGTCCAAGATCAGCTTTCGAATTATTTATGGTAGTGGGGCATTCTATGTGGGAATTTTTACCAAGTTGTCTTCTGTAGATGCAAAGTGATTAATGTTCACAAATGGATGCCATTAATGGGAACCTTGAGAATTTGCTGATTATGTGAATGAATAAGGGTCAAGGAGGGGAGCTCAGAGACCCAACCGTTTGTTTTGGCTGTGGAAATATTTCTCCTGTGTGATCTCTGAAGGACTTAGGTCAACACAGCCACTTGTACCGTTAGTCACTTGGCAGCTGAAAGGACACGTGTGTCTTTAGGTGAATTTTCTCTACAATGAGATCATGAGCTTGTAGCTTGCTTAACTTTTCGTGATTTCAACGAGTCCTAATACCCCTGGAACTTAACTTTGTTTCCTGGGCCAAGGCGCCCCTCCCTGTAGAATGGATCATCACGCTGCGCATTCACAGTTTTTTATAAGTGTGCTTCTATAATTTGCCGTGTCTTTGTGTAATGTGTGTCCTTCTAAACATTCTCCAGGAAAATACTTAATGGCCAAGCGTTACTTACCTAAGCCTCTCTACCTCTCAGAGCTTCAGTTTCCCGATCTGTAAAAAGGAGGAAACTGGTCTCTGTGACCTCAAAAGGCCTGTTCAGGTCTCAGCTGTATTTATCTGTGCACAGCTCGGTCACACCTGCCTCTCTGTAGCAGCAGGTGTGCGGTTTGGATGTGTCACACCCCCCCGCCCCCCTCTGTCCAGGCGTGTGCACAGGCAGCTCCACTCGGCACATCGTGACCTTTGATGGGCAGAATTTCAAGCTGACTGGCAGCTGTTCTTACGTCCTATTCCAAAACAAGGAGCAGGACCTGGAGGTGATTCTCCACAAAGGCGCCTGCAGCTCTGGGGAGGAGCAGAGCTGCATGAAGTCCATTGAGGTGAAGCACAGCGGCCTCTCGGTGGAGCTCCACGACAACATGGAGGTGAGGGGCGCTGTCTGTGGGCCCCTGGCAAGGCAGCCGCTGAACCTCAGGGCAGATGCCCGGACCTGGTGCAGCTGGCTCTAGCGGGAGCCCTTGTTGGGGACTCGGCCTTCTGCTTAACTAGAGGAACACCAGCTTCTTATGAGGGGTGTATTGGCATCTCCTGTGTCTTGGTGTGATTTCAGGCTGTTATAAGCCCAGATTTGGAAGAGAGAATCAATTTCAGATAGTGTGAGATTGTGACCTTAGTGCCAGCTTCTGGCACGGGTAGAGAATTGGGAGTGGTACCAGGACTCAGGGTGCGTTATGAGCCCGGTGCCTGAGCCCTGTGAGCTCTCCAAAGGGAGATCTTTAGGGCCTAAATTAGGGCCTTTGAAAATATTCAGGGCCAAAACAAAATGTATGGCTCCACAATTTGAAAAGAAAACTGCAAAACTGGTTTAAATAAATGTTTGATAAAATGTTTATAAAAAGGTTTCGTTATGCCATCCTCTTTGCTTGTTCCTATAGGAAGCATAAATATTTCATTGTGTGGAAAGAGCTTGTAGGCTAGATTTTCTCATTTTGCAAGAATTCTTGAATAAGAACAATGACTGCTGAAAAGTCATAGTTAGTCATATATTAAGTGAATAACTTATAGCCCAAAATTCTAAAGTCAAAATGATTTAAAAGAAAACCCTTCAAATTTTTATAGCCAAAATTATATTCATCACAGGACCTGAGTGCGGTTCAGTATGTTTGATATGCTATAAGGTGGGGCCACCAAAGTAAGGACTTCTCGTGACACGCTTACAGACAAAAAAGACTTAAAGTAGTCCTGGTAGATGTCCTGGAGACACTGCCCCAGTGAGTTGGCAAAATGGCAGCTTTCCTGGCCCGCCTTGGAGGGGTCGCCCTTCCCTGCTGAGTCCCACAGGCCTCTCCCTGGGCTCCGGGTTCCAGGTGCACGGCTGTCTGTGTGGCACGACATCAACAACAGCCGGTTCTCTGGTGGAGCTCCGGGAAGCCCCGTCGTCTCAGGAGCCCTGCTGGCGGCCGCAGGGCGTGTGGCTGACGCTGCCGTTCAGGGCGATGCATGTGCCGCCACTCTCAGTAACCTCGGTGGGAAGCCAAGGGGCAGGTCCAGACTCCTCATTGCTAGCACTGCCGATGAGCCTTTTCTTTTCCCGGCAGGTGACGGTGAATGGGAGACTGGTGTCTGTCCCTTATGAGGGTGGGAACATGGAAGTCAGCATCTATGGTGCCGTCATGCACGAGCTCAGATTCAGCCGTCTCGGCCACATCCTCACATTCACGCCGCAAAACAATGAGTTCCAGCTGCAGCTCAGCCCCAAGACCTTTGCTTCGAAGATGTACGGTCTCTGTGGTAAGGACGTTTCCTTAGCACCCCACCTTACGTTTGTACACCTCACTTGCTGTGCCCAGAGGGCTCTTGGATGCTTATTATTTCTGGGTCCATTGTCAAGGACCCGGCAGCAAGGGTCAGAGCCTGGTGGGGATGGAGAACGGCCAGTCTCCGGCATCAGGGACTCGGTACCCAGGGCTGCCAGTGTCGCCTTTTGTTCTTTCTCTAGGGATCTGCGATGAGAATGGGGCCAATGACTTCATGCTGAGGGACGGCACAGTCACCTCGGACTGGAAAGCGCTTGTCCAGGAGTGGACCGTGCAGCAGCCGGGGCAGACGTGCCAGCCCGTTCCCGAGGAGCAGTGCCCTGTCCTCGACAGCTCCCGCTGCCAGGTCCTGCTGTCAGCCGTGTTCGCTGAGTGCCACCAGGTCCTGGCTCCAGCCACGTTCTATGCCATCTGCCAGCAGGACAGCTGCCGCCAGGAGCGAGTGTGTGACGTGATCGCCTCTTATGCCCACCTCTGCCGGACCAGTGGGGTCTGTGTCGACTGGAGGACAAGCAGTTTCTGTGGTGGGTCTCCCTGTGCACCTCCGAGGACCCTGAGACCAGCGAAACGGCCTCTGGTTCTTTATCTGGCTAATAAAGACGAAAAGCCCTGCCTTTCCTATGACCCGGGATTTGGTTAGGATCCAGTAAGATGGTAGACGTATATAGGCAGACCTATATGTCTGCCTTGAATGCAGAGCTTGTATGTAAATTAAAGAATGATTCTTTCCATTAATATTTCCATAGTTCCAATATGATTTTAATGTATTAGACACATTCAGGCATCAGCAAAGGACTGAATAACCAGTCACACTGAATTTGAAATTCCACCGAGCTTTAGCAAACGCTCATAGTGTAGACCACTATGAGCAGGATTTTTTTGTAATTTCAAAATATTATAGGGGTACAAACATTTTGGTTACATATAATGCCTTTTATGAGCAGAATTTTGAAGTTTGAGTAGAATCATGCCATTTGGTGACCAAAATGCTTCTTAATTGCAAATACACAGGATTGCGAGTACGGATGTCCTCCCCCTGCGATCAGCTTCTGGACTTGGGCTGGGCATTTATTTATTATTTAAAATATAGGGCAGACATGGATCCTGCCCTCCAGGGGTGCTGGAGTGAAAAGAACAATGAACTTGAAATCCTCAATTATCACACGTGGTCCTTGACTGTTTTCTAAGGGAAACCACTACGTACAAGCATGTTGGAGCCTCAGACTTTCTTATCATAGAGCTGTCAGCAGCTCTAACCTGGGGTGTCCTTGTCCCAGCTTACCAGGCCATCGGCTGTTCTCTTAGTCTTTCTGGACTAAGCTTCTGTATCTTAGGATGGGACAGTTGGACTGGGCAACACTTAGGTTCCTTTGAGCTCTGATTTTTGGAGTCTATGTGGACAACACTGCCTCCTCTCAACCTGCCTGCAGATCAAGGGCAAATGTTAGCTTTTAAGTTGCCAGAGCACCTGTGCCTGCTGATTCCGCTGTGTACTTCCTGGCTACTTACTGTGCATACAGAGAAAACCCTTGGTGCTCCAATCCTTGGGGACCTCCACCACCTGCCATGGCGTCATGAGCATGTGGGAAAGTCCCTGGGCAGGTCAGAGCGGGAGAAGTGAATCGCCCTGTGGCCCCTCTCCTGAGGCAGCTCTTCGTCGCTGTGGACTCCTTACTTAATTTTAAGAAGATTTTAAAGCATCAAATATATCTGTATTTAAAAAAAGGACCACAAAACCTCCTAAGAACACACAGGTTCACATAGTTAGGATTAGATTTGGCAGCAAGAAGCAGAGAAATAAAATTTTTGGTCATACTGCTGGCCAGATCCGCTCCGCCGATTCTGGGTTCAAATTGGATTCTGGCTATTTGCTCGGCCCTCACATGGGTGTGGTCTTCTGCAGGGTTTAAGACGGAGCACTCGCTGTCACCTTCATGTCCCTGCAGCAGGATGCTAGCAGGAGGGGAAAGCGACAAAGAACACGCGCAGCTGTCCTTTTAAGGTTCCTGGGGGCTGCCATGGGATGCTGCACTTCCTCTGACAGTTCGCCGGGCGGCGCCCGTTCTCAGGACTGGGTTGGGTTGCAGGTGGGGATGGGGAGTGCAGTCCTACTCTGGATGGTCGCGTGTCCAGATCAGAGTTCCGTTTCCATGGAAGATGAGGAGAACGGTGATGGGCAGAAACCAGCCCTCCCTGTCCCAGCGGTTTGTCGGATGATTGAGCATGTCGCGCCAGCTGTGCCTCTGTTTCCCTCCATTGATGTGGGCCTTTGGGACTGACCTCCTCCTCTGTCTGCAGCTATGTCCTGCCCGCCGTCCCTGGTGTACAACCACTGTGAGCGCGGCTGTCCCCGGCACTGTGACGGCAACGCGAGCTCCTGCGGGGAACATCCCTCGGAAGGCTGCTTCTGCCCGCCGGGCCAGGTCCTGCTGGAAGGCGGCTGTGTCCCCGAGGAGGCCTGCTCGCAGTGCGTGGGTGAGGACGGAGCACGGCACCAGGTAGGGGCCCGGCCTCTCACGTGGGGCTTCCTCCCTCTGGGGTTGCTGGGGAGCAGTGCTCACCAGTGATTGTCCCCTTCCAACTGTGGCTCTCAAGGGGATCACTGAGGATTAGGGAGGCAGTACTGCAGAATGGCTTTGAACTCAGGTCTGGGTTCAAATCCTGGGTCTGTCATGTATTATCTGTGGGATCAAACACTGCAGTATTGTTACCACATTATTATTATTTTCATTTGTATTATTATATTCATGTAAGTAGAACAATATAGGAACCCAGGAGGGAAAGGGAAAAGAATATTTTATATGGTAATGTCTGCCATTATTAACATACATCGTGTACCTTGATTGTGCCAAACACTATATATTCGTTATCTCAATGTTTTCCAAAGGCGTGTTTTGATTTCTTGTGGTCAAGTGAGTTTAAAGAACTCATTTATTTATTTAAAATTTTTTAAAAAATGATTTTTTGTAAAGATGAGGTCTCACTTTGTTGTCCAGGCTGGTCTCAAACTCCTGGGCTCAAGCGATCCTCCCACCTTGGCCTCCCAAAGTGCTGGGTTTACAGGTGTGAGCTACCGTGCCCAGTTTAAAGAACTCTAGCTAAACATAGTTACACAGGCTTCCTTTATACAGGACTCTTAGAGCTTTCAATGTGCTGTTGTACACTGCAAATATTTAAGAGGGTTTTTGCTTCTCAGACTAATTTGACCACAGAGCGTGTATGTGTGTGGCGGCATGTGTAGGTGTGCGTACAGCACACGTGCGTGTGTGTGTAACATCCCTTTGGACTAGGCTCTACTCGATACACTAGGATATCCTCCGTTACTCGTAAATACTCACAAAAAACCTATGCGAAAACTAAGACCTAAGGCACGTAGTAACTTGCCCATGGGCGCGGTTTGTAAGTGGCAGAGTTGGGAACTGGACTGTAAGGATGTGGCTGTTCCCACTATATGAAATGGCCCTTTTGCTACATCTTTTTTGGACTGATTTGCTTGGTAGACATTGAGACATCAATTCCTTTAGCTCCTTAAGAGTAATCGAGCACTTTGTGAAAGGATATTTACCAAACTCCCCCATCTTGGCCTAAAATGGCAGTCATATCTTTTCAAAGTCGACGCCAGCAATATTTGCAGGATCTGTGTGTCCGTGCACGTGTGAACGTGTGCCGTGTCCCCGTCCTGTGACAGCGAAACTACAGACCATGGTGGAGGTAGGAGCATATTTGGCCGCTAGCAAAGGAGAGTGTGTTCTATATTATTCGAGACTAGCACCTTCATCGTCACCAAGGAGGACCATCATCACTAAGTGGACAGCTGGGTGACTTGCCACTCTGTTTAATCACAACTCGGGGAACTCATGGCAGAGCTAGCTAACCAGCCTGGAGAGTAATGGAAACGGTATTCTAGTAACTACACTGTTTTGTCTCTGATATTGTAAGCTGGAAAATGGACCATTTTGTTTGATTCCTCCCAAAGCTCTATAGGGTCATTATCACAAGTCCTATGGAATGTGAGAAGCCTGAGGCTCAAACGACATGAGGCCATAAAGCTGGGATTCCTGTTCACTCGTCGCCCCATGGTGTCCTAGCTCTGCCATTGATCACACCACAACTCTGAGCTAGCTGGTATCCACGTGAGCGTGGGCACCCATCTGGGATATTGCGTGGACGGGTCTCACCTGCTCTAGTTTAGTTGTCGAGCTTTGTCCTAGCGGACCCCACTTGTTCTCATGTAGAATAGACAAGCTAGGAGAGAAGCTCCATCCTGCTCTGCCACCACATGTCAACTTGCCAAGTTAAGAAGTTGCCTGTTCTATGGTATTTCCTAAATAAGTGGGCAATGCCTTACATTCCTCTCCCTGATGTGTATAGCTCCTGGGCTCCCTTGGGGCTCGAATGATGGGTGCCGTTTACATGTGGGGCCAGTGCCCCGTGGTAATTTCAGTTTCTGGGGTTGCTGGGAGTGGCAAAGTGCTTGCTCTCCGAGGGAGGCAGAGTGGTCTCCACCCTGTTCCTCTGCTTTCTGTGATGAGAGGTGAGCTCACGTGTGCTGTGGTTCTGGCTCCATGAGTATCAGATGCCTGCAGGGGCCCGAGAGCAGGAAGCCTGTGGGTTTGTTCTTGGTGTCTCCGGCCCCGCTTCCCTTCACGCTCCTCTGTGATGCCACTAACCCTCACTGCTCGCCTCACCTTCGGTCCAGCACTCAGAGTATGCACTTGAGTTGAGTCAAGAATCCTTCCAAATGGTGAAATATTTGACACAGAAACCATCTTATAAATACATTTTTAAAAGTCAAGTAACATAAAATCAGTCAATAAAAAGACCAATTTTGGAAACACAGCCAGTTTTAGTTGTTTCAGAAAATATAGATTGAATGGATGAAAACAAATATCCACCCACCTGCCTTTCCAGCTTTTACTTTTAAAGCAGAGAAAGAATAAAAATCCAATATGAAGATCATTTCCATTAAATGAATTTTTTAAAACCGAAAAGTAAAGCCCAGAAAACATTTCTTCAGGGAAATAAACCAGGGTATAAAACTATTATAGTAACTTCAGGAGGACAAAATATTTACTAGTTGCCATAGCTTTAGCTTATTTTACAGAATGGAGTGTAAAGATGCGAGCCTTTGCAGCAGGCTCAGAGGGGCCCAGAGCACGCACAGGCTGTCCCTTGCTCCCTGCTGCTGCTGCTGGGGCTGTGCCACAGGCACAAGCTCAGCCACAACTGCGTCCACCGCCAGGAGCCTGGAGCCTCCATTCCCCTCCCTCCGCCTCTCCATAGCCGGCTCAGCGCTCGCCTTTCATCCTCATCTTCCGTGAAGTCCTCCTGCCGGTGGTGGGTGGTGCGTGACGACTCGCCGCCCTTCTCTGACCTTGGGGTCTGAAGACTTCAGTTTCCCCCCACTATATTCCCTGTAGGCTGTTCTTTTGTCCCCTTTATTTGGCCTTTGACTCCGGCTGGCTCTCATACCTGTTTTGTTCCTGGCCCTGGAACCTGGCAGGTGCGACGGGCCTGCCTACAGTTGGCCTGGCCTGTGCAGGAGTGCCACCTGCTGGCCACTTTGCTGCATAGCCTGGCCAGGCCTGGAGAGCCGCCATCATCACTGTCAGAAGCTCAGCCTTCGCTTTTTTGGGGTGGTTGATTCTGTCCCCTGCTTGCGGTGGGCCTCATTTAAGCTTCCTGGGAAAATGAAAACCCCTGGAGAAGGAGGTTGAACACCTGCTTTTGGTCATCTTTTGTGGTGTTGCCCACTTTCAGGATAATTGGAAGGTTATATGATTTGGTTTTTTTTGAGACAGAGTGTCACTCTGTCCCCCCAGCTAGAGTGCAGTGGCATCATCATAGCTCACAGCAACCGCCAACTCCTGGGCTCAAGCCATCCTCCTGCCTCAGCCTCCCGAGTAGCTGGGGCTACACAAACATGCCACGGCGCCCGACTAAGTTTTCTGTTTTTAGTAGAGGTGGGGTCTCGCTCTTGCTCGGGCTGGTCTTGAACTCCTGAGCTCAGGGGATCTTCCCACTTCCACCTCCCAGAGTGCTAGGATTTCAGCTGTGAGCCACTGCACCCGGCCTGATTTGTTCTTGAGTTTAGATGTCTGAGGTCCACATTTAAAAAGAGACAGAGAAAAAAAGAAAACCAAAACATATACAAAACATAACCCTCTCCACTCTCATTTCATCACTTCGCCTGCCCCAGCCCTCCAGCGCCCTGTGCTCTTCTCTGGGTCTCCCAGTCCCTGGAGAAACCGTGGAATGACACTGCTGCAGCCTCTGTTTTGTTTTTCTGTTCCTGGCCCTTCCCTCTCCCACCCTGCGCGCTGTCACCAGGCTGTCTCTGTTAGCGCTCCTCTCTGAGGCAGCGTCAGGGGTGAGGGCAGACTCCTGCAGTGGACAGCACGGCCTCCACCCCGTTCCCCAGCCTGCCTGCCTGGCCCCGCCATGCGCAGGTCACCCGTCCCCACCTGCCCCCAGGAGCATGCCCTCTTCTGCCCCTTCGTTCCTTCTGTTCCCACCTGGGATCCCCCGCCTCCCCGTTGCTTGTGTCCTTCCCCTGCTTCACGGGGGCGGTGTCCTCAGACAGCCCGGAGCACACGGCCCTAGTGACTCCTTTGCACTTCTATGGCTCCTGCATTTTTCATTCTTAGAAAAAGCCTTATTGAGGTATGATTTACATGCAAGAAACAGCACATAGTTAAAGTGTGTACAGTTTGGCGAGTTTTGAAGGCACATATACACATAAAACCGTCATTGTGAGCCAGATAGTGAATTTCAGTTGTTTCCAAGTTTCCTTATGCCCTTTCTGATGTGTCCCCTGGCCCCGGCAGCCGCTGGTTTGCTTTCTGTCACTGGGGTCCTTTCGCATCTTCTGGGGTTTTGTGTAAATGGGAATCACACGGTGGGCACTCCTGTTTTGCCCGGCTTCCTTCGCTCAGCATAATGCCTTTGAGATTGATGCGTGCGTGTGTTTCGATGGTCTGTTCCTTTTTATTGCTGAGGCCGGAATGCTGCTCACGTCCTGGATGTGCCACCTGGTCACGTTACTTGACTTCCTGGTGCCTCAGTTTCATCATTTGTAAATGCAGATAATAACAGCACTTACCAGATAGGGTTATTATCAGGGAAATAAACAAACGTAAAGCCCGTAGAAGTGTCTTGGACGTGTTTAATGTTAGTTAGCACTGAGAGGCAGCCGAGCGCAGTGGTTGGAAACGTGGGTTCTGGGCCCCGTCCTAGCTCTGCTGTGATGACGGGGCAACCCGAGCCGGTGCCTGGGCTTCCTCTTTTGTAGGGTGGGGTGAGGAATGAAAACGTCCCCGGCTGGGATTGCAGTGAGGATTACGCGAGTCGGTCAAACGAAGCCCTTAACGCAGCGGCACACAGCGGGCGCTGTTCAAGTGCTGGCCGTTGCGTGCATTGACTGGGCAGAAGACGTGCCGGGGCAGGACCGGCGTGGGGGGCCCATCCGAGGAGGGCCGGGCTCTGGGGGAGGGCGTTTACGTGGGGCTCTTTGATCTTCCCTCTTAGCGGACAGATTGCTGACTGAGGCAGATGGAATAAGTAAGACCTTCTTGACCTGGGAACTTTCTAGAGGTGTTTATTCAGGGGCAATTTAACCTGAATCTAATTTTGTTTAAATTTAATCTGATGGCTGAGTGTGGAGGTAGACCGAGTCCTGGCTCTGTGTTCCTCTTGCTGTGCGCCAGGCCCGGTTTCCTGCTGCCCACAGCCGTCCTGTGAGGCAGGCCCGAGCACCAGGTGAGGAAACTGAGGCATGGAGGAAGGTGGCCCATACTGGGCTTTAGGTGTTCCTGACTTCAGAGCTGGTGCTGTGGGGCTGTGTGTGACCTTGAGGGCATTGCTTTGCATCCCGGCGGCCCCTCATCTGAAAAGCCAGAGAACTAACTGCCCTCGGCGTCTGACTTCACTTCCGGCATCAACAGTGTGAGATTCGAAGAGCTTTGCTGCCCCCAAGTCTTCCTGCCCCTTTGTCTTATGTCCAGAAACAAATGAAATTTCTTTCCCTCGAGCTACATCTTAATTTTTCCATTGGCCCGAGAAGTGACTAGCACTGTGGTGCGAGACCTCCTGCACGGTGCCGCCTCTTCCCTCCCAGAACCTTAGAGTCCTCTCAACGTGCCTTTGTTCATCCGCGAGGCCCTGGCGGAGGGACGGCCAGGGAGCTGGCCCTGGCGAGAGGCAGCCGAGCCAGAGCCGGGGGAGAGCTGGCTTCCTCGAGCTCCGGGGCCTTGGGTGTCCTGTGCCCTTGCTGAAGCCCGCTTTCCCCGCAGTTCCTGGAAGCCTGGGTCCCGGCCCACCAGCCCTGCCAGCTCTGCACCTGCCTCAGCGGGCGCAAGGTCAACTGCACGGCGCAGCCCTGCCCCACGGCCAAAGGTGAGCGAGTCCACCCTGCCTGGTCCTCTGGGAGGAAGACGGCCCCCTGGAGGCCCCCGGCACCGTCCTCAGGCCTGGCAGAGCAGATCCAAGTGCTGGCGCGGAGAGCCGATCTCCCCGACCAGCCTGGCCTGCATCCCCTCGCTGGGCACGGGGCACCGACACTCTCAGACTGAACCCTGCCCGCCTATCTGTGCCTTGGTGCGCAGACTCCGAGTCCCCTGGGAGGGAAATGTGAGGTGTCATCAGGACAGTGGGGAGGCTCATTTGTCAGAGGTCCCAGGGCCTGGACGCTTGGGGGACAACCGTACAGAGCCTGTGCCGGGTCTCAGTGCGTGAGAGCGTTCCAAATCCCACACTGTCAGTCCTTCCCGGGCTGCACGTTATTCATTCTCTGACCTTCTCCTCCAGCTCCCGCGTGTGGCCCGTGCGAGGTGGCCCGTCTCCGCCAGGACGCAGAGCAGTGCTGCCCCGACTACGAGTGTGGTATGTCCCCCTGCAGGTCTCTCCAGGCCCGGCGCCAGCCCAGGTGCAGCCTGCTGTGGTGCTGAGGGCGGGTGTGTTCTCGGGCGCAGGTGCGCCAGAGGAGGTGGGAAGGCTGACTAGATGTTCCAAGTAGATGGAAAGGGTTATCCCTGGAGAATGGGATTTGGCTCCTAGAAAAACCCTACCAGACATACATTTTTAAATGCAAGGGCTGACAGCATGAATAAAATAGTGGTGTGATCGCTGGGGCTACAGAGAGTCACTGAAGACAAAGACATCTTCCTTTTAGGTAAGATTTTGAGGCCACTAGCTGTAGAGCCTGCCACACACAGGGCACTTGGAGTTCAGAGGGTGATCTGTCAGAGGCTTTCACGATAGGCTTGCAAACTACAAAGTGAGTAATGGGATGAATGATGATAATTCAATTAATCCGGAGCTGATGGAATTATGGTTCACATGGCAGGAAATCACTAATGTCCTTGTCCCTGTCCTGTCCGATGTGTTTATTAATTGTTCAGATGAAGACATAAAGCACAGGCTTGCAAAATTTACAGTGATGCAGATCTTCCAGGGAGAGCAAATCGATCAAGGGATAGTCCAAGGATCTAAAAGAGAATTAAATAATCTGAGAAATTTGCTTTTGCTGATAAAATTTATCAGCCATAAATGGAAGTCCCATAGGGGAGGGGGATCTGAGTTGAGAATGGTTCCTGCAAAGTAGGTCTTAGAATGTTAGCAGTGGTGAGAACTGGAGGATCATTTAGTTAAACCCCTCATTTTACAGACATTGTTCAGTTCCTACAATGTTGCAGGCACTTTGCCTTAATTGTTTCATGAAATCCTCAGCCTAACTCGATAAGGTAGAGTTCCCACCTTACAGGAGAGGAAACTGAGGTCTAGAAGATTCAAGTCAGTTGGCTGAGATCTGGGAAGGTGATAAGAATACTCAGTGTGTGTCTTGGATCTGTCTGTCTGTCTACTTATCACCCATATTTATCTGTCATCCTGTGTCTATCTAGTCTCTATGTCCTGTCTCTCTCGCCTATTATTCCCCCTTTTAACTCTCTGTCTGTCTCTATCTACATCTCCCTATTACCGTCTACCTAAAACAGCAGAAGGCCGCGTGAATAGGCATGCAGGGTCAGGCTCACAGGTACTGTTAGAGTGACCTGTCTGAACTCTGTGTGACGACTGTCTCTCCTGGCCCGCAGTGTGTGACCTGGTGAGCTGCGACCCGCCCCCGGTGCCTCACTGTGAGGGTGGCCTCCAGCCAACGCTGGCCAATCCCGGCGAGTGCAGACCCAGCTTCACCTGCGGTAAGCCTCTGTGCATGTTTGGCTTCTCCTGCCCGGGAGGCTGTCCTCATTCTTAGGGACCTGCTCCCAGACCATGTCATTTCCTGCTTTCTAGTTAGTGGAATCTGGGTTTGGCTCATCTAGAACAGAGGGGTTAAGGTCACAGCTGAGCAGAAAGAATCCTTCCAGCTGCACGCTGCTGAGGGCGTACCAGGTGTGGGCGCAGCTACAGGCACTTCCTTCCTGGGTCACGTTCAGAAACGGTTGGGGCTGAGGTGCGGAAGGCCCCAGGTCCGATCTTTATTTGACCCCACCCTTCCATGTGCACCGATGGGGAGAATGTTCCCTTGGCTTATCCTCATCACTGGATCTTACTCCCAAACAAATTCATAGGTTCCTTCCCACTGTGGGTGCATATGTTTAGTCACTAAGTACTATCATGTAAGCATAGGGTTGGGTTAAAGTAAGACGTGGCAAGAAACCGAATTCTGTGTTCAGCTCCTGAGAACACCCACTGTAGGTCAAGCAGAGCTCTTGTCCTGCTGCTTTGGAATCTCACTGGGTTTCTTAGATGTGAGGTCTCAAGGGTGGAGGAGAACACACTGTATTTGAAGGAAGATGGGAATAGGCAAAGGACACAGGGGTGGGATTTGGCATTTATGAAAGGACATTGTGGATTTGATGAGATTGCTGCAGTCGTTCATTCCACTTTGTTGGGCCTAAGACTGTAGGGTGTGTTTCTAGGTCCTAGGGCGGGGGTAGAATCACAGAAGCCAGCAGCGCGTAAGAGTGCTCTCCAGGTCCTGGTGCAGTCAGGCCCCGCTGGGTCTTAGAGGTTCTGCCTCTGATGCCTCTGATGGTCAGTCGTTGGGAGGGCCCTGGCCTTGCATGGCAACGGGATAGAGAGGGATCGAGCAGCCTTCACTTCTCCTCTGTTAGAATTATGAGCTTCACGTTTTTCCTTTTGATTAATGTTCTTATTTTTCTGCACACAAACTTCTTTTCGATAAGTGAGTAGTGCCCAGCCCTGAGCTGGGCTCACGTGCATTTCTGGTGCAGCATTCTGAGTCTAGAGTTCCCTGGGGCCCCACGGCATAGCCGAACGCTTGCGGTCCCGGTAGGGGGCAGGGCTCACCTCGTGCTGCCCCTCAGCCTGCAGGAAGGAGGAGTGCAAAAGGGAGCCCCCGCCCTCCTGCCCCCCACACCGGACGCCCACCCTTCGGGAGACCCAGTGCTGTGATGAGTATGAGTGCGCTTGCAACTGTGTCAACTCCACGGTGAGCTGTCCCCTCGGGTACCTGGCCTCAGCCACCACCAACGACTGTGGCTGCACCACAACCACCTGCCTTCCTGACAAGGTAGGTGCTGCTCAGCTCTGGCTAGGACGATGGCGAAACACCTACTCCTCACGGAAGACCTGCACCTACCCAACCTTCCCTCCCGCCCGAGCCAAGCACTGCCAGGCCTGGTGGGCGGGCAGTCGCCAGTTCACCTCAGCCTAGGGGGGGAATTTAGTTAGCTCAGGAGGTATTTATAGTGAACCTACTACGCAAAGCACAATCTCTACTACTGAGCTACATCCCCAATACCCATAGTGAACCTACTGTGTACTAAGCATGGCTGGATGCTGAGGTTACAAACAATGAATAAGACATTGTCCCTACTTTTAAAGAGTCTATCTGTAGATTAGCTAAGGAAATAATGTGATTCCATGGATTATTTAGAGATCAGTTAATAGTTTATTCCTTAGTGAATGGCTCTCAATTCATTCATTCATCCATCCAGTATTTACTAAGCAACTTCTGATCTATGACAGAATTGGTGCTATGTTAGGTGCTTTGGAAGAAATGCAAGAGGCAGTACCTACTTATGGTCTTGAGGTAGTATACATGACAATAGTATATAATGTGAATGTAATGAAGTATCAATAGATTGTACTAAATAATATTAAATGCAAACAACAGTCTTATAGGGGAGAGGGCTACCAAGGCGAACCATCATGAGAGATTTAATTGGTGGGGTTAGGGGGATGGTGGGTGCAGGGCGGGGAAGTGTCAGAATGGGGCTTGAAATGAGCTGGAACTGCGGCAGGAAGACCTGAGCATAGTGGCAGCTGCTGAGTTGAGGGGGAGTCCTGACGTGAGTGACACAGAGAAACCACAGTTGTCTTTCCCTGGAGCCTGTTAGGGCTAGAATGACCGCTATTTGCCTGGAATGCGTACCTCTCTTGTACCTCTGGGTACAATTCTAGCTCAGGGTTTCTAAGCATGTAGCTTCTGGAGAAGCCAGAGCAAGTCTAGGAGGCTGCGATTGCGGCTGCTGCTTGTGAGTCTGTTCTCTTTCTCCTCGTCCCGCCCACCTCTCCCGCTTTGCCCTTCTTCTGTTAATGTTTCTTATGTCTCTGTAGCTATAGCAATGCCACTCCCACTTTTTATACCTTGGGTTTGTTGGGGGAGCTGGGTCATTTGTCTTACAGAATGTCATGAATTCTGGATTTGGCTAACAGCTACCTCATGGGGTCACATAACGTGTTCTTCCATCCCCTATATTTCCAGTAAACTAGAAGTTAGACCCAGGGGATTGATTACATTCAAGGGCAGTTTTGGGGGTGGAAAGAATACATGCTAGAGGTTTCTGTGTGCTTCCTGTTGCAGCAGACTGTGAGGCACGTAATGCCCAGTGTCCCATTTTTAAAGATGGGACTGAATCCTGGGTTCAGGTGGTGTCAGCATATTTCTGCATCATGAAGTTTACCCCATCAACATTTTACCCGAAGTTTCAATATTCATTGGTGTTTTTTGTGTAAGATTCAGTATGCCTTTAGGAGTCGCAAAATTGTGACTTTTCTCTACTTCTAAAATTCTTATGTGTTTATTAGCTAGAATTCTTTCATGAGAAAGAATTTTCCCCCAACTACTTTTAGTTACCCTGAAATAAAATTACTCCAGGAAAAGCAGGATAAAAGCCTGACTTTGTCCTGTACCAGTTGTCAGTGTCATGAGTGGGTGCCGCAGCAACCAGCAAGGATGACCAAAGAGTTGTTTGTTTGTTGTTTTCGGTATCATTACGAACTCACGATGCGTATGTATTTGATGTATTAATATTTTGATTGTAATCTTTATTCTCATTCGATACCCAAATTATCCTACCTGAGGTAAACAGGAACCCGTTCAGGTGGGCTCCTGAACCCTTGGCATGGCCTCGCCAATCTTTGGTGGCTTCCCTGCTTTCTGCAACAGCAAGGTGTGCCAGGCTCATCTCGGCGCTTCCCATCCTGGTCCTTGGGTCAGCCGTTGCACCAAAAAGTCCTTGTACCCGTTAGTGAAAGTGGTAATTGGACACTACTGTCTGGGTGCTGGGAACGTTTATTGCTCCTGGGTCGACATTGCCTCTAGACCTTTTTGGTGAAAAGAGATTAGAAACACATATTTTTAAAGAGGATAAAAGCTTATAATTTCATAGTGGTATTTCTGATTCAAATTTAATTATAGGGTTTTATTCCACTTCTTTGATTTGATACTTGTATCACTTCTCCTCTAAATTGAAAATTCTGTTTTTCTAACATAATTGAAATAATTACTTATTTGGTTTATCTTGTAATATACCTGTAATAGTTTCAAAAATAACAGTGCTAATATTATTGCTAATAATTTATGACTACTGAAGGTGGTTTAAGATTTCTTTGCGGTTCTTCTTGTCCTAAAACAAAAACTCATTGGTGATATATAGTCAAAATATTAGGTTTTAATGTCATTTGAAATAATTATTTCCCCTGTGTGATTGTCACTGACTTGATAATCCAGTTAATCAGATATTTCAATTTTTTCTCCATTTTTAGGGGTTGCTTTTTATTTCCTTTTAAATTTAATACTACTATGATATAAAGCACTTAAATGATTTTAAAGCCCAAATTATAAATCAAGACATATTCCCAGGAGTCCCACTTCTATTCCTGTTTCCTTTACCTTGTTCCTTCCTCCCTCCATAATTTGTAACTTTTATTTTTATATTAGAAAATGTAATTAAATTTTACATATTTGTATTTCTTCCCACTGCTCACAAAAAGTAGCATATTATAAATGCTATTTTAAATTTTCCTTTTTTAGTTTAACAACACATGATGGAGATCATTGTATATCAGAACATAGAGAGCTGCCTCATTGCATTTTGTAGCTGCGTAGTTCTTCATTGCATGGGTGCACCTTAGCTTTTCAACACATCCATTGCTGATGGACATCTGAGTTGCTTCAGTCTTTTAATTCCATAATGAATAGCTTTGTGCCTCTGTCATTTTGTGTTTTTGCCAGCGTGCTTTGGGATAGATTCCTAGAAGTGAGATTCTGGGTCACGTGGTAAATACGCATGATTTTGCTAAGTTCTTCTCCATAGTGATCATGATGCTTATCTAGCAGTCTACTTAGTAAAAGAGTAAGAGGTCTCATTCAATAAGGCCATTATACAGAAGCTGAAAGACTGAGACGATATATGATAATGTTTAAAAATATTTCGACTGCTGTTCTTTGTACGAGGGTAGAGACTTGTTTTGTGTAGCTTTGGAGGGCATGCTGGGATCCCCTGATCAAACAGCTTCCTTAGCTCCTCATTCCCACGGAACAGTGCCTGAGCACTGCATGTGGCTCGCATCCCAGGCGGTCCATGTTCCCATTTCAACCAGCCTTCGTAATCTCATTTCCCACGTTCCTGGGGTTCTTCCAAACAGGACTCTTATCTTTTAAACATGTCCCATACTCTGCACCCTAGAGTCTTTGCTGGTATGTTCCTTGCATTTGTGGGCCTTGCAGTCATAGCCCCTGCCCAATGGTCCTTCACCTTCAGTCTGCTCCTACGCAGGCAGAGGGCTAGCTGTGGACGCGCTCCAAGTCCAAGGACATCACTGTGTCTGGAAATTTGGGTACAGCCACTGTGTGACGTGGGAAGGAGGTGAATGCAGTTAAAGCAGTGATGAAACCAGACCAAGGCAGTCGTGTGTTATATTGGAGTCTGTGGACCTCACGAAGGGCCACCCCAGGGTAGACTGGAGGTGGCTTTTCTAAGACCGGTGGGCAGCGAAGGGAAGAGGACACAGTCTGCTGCATAGGCATCCCTACGCGTGGCAGGGCACGTTGGCTTTACCGGTGGCTGCGTTCTCAGCGTGCGTAGCAGCTTCTGCAGAGCAGGTGCTTGCTGACCGCCTGTATCAGTGAACCACACGAGCGACTCATGGAAACCTGTGTCTGCAGGTGTGTGTCCACCGAGGCACCATCTACCCCGTGGGCCAGTTCTGGGAGGAGGGCTGCGACGTGTGCACCTGCACGGACATGGAGGACGCTGTGATGGGCCTGCGCGTGGCCCAGTGCTCCCAGAAGCCCTGCGAGGACAGCTGTCGGCCGGTGAGTGGGGTGGGGCCGTCACTGCGGGGGCCGTCAGGGCGGGGGAGCAGGGAGGCCACCCCAGGAAGGGGCAAGAAAGGCCCCTAGTCACCTCTGGCTCAAGGCCAGAGGTGGGGAGGAAGGAGGGGGTTAGGGCTGGATAAAAAGACGAGAAAAGGATGGCCGTGCCATCCTGTCACCCTTCTGTGACTCACTCCTCTGCTAACAGTCGGGCTGTTGTGAGGTTGTAAGTCCAGAGGTGCCGGGTGGACTTGGTTTGGGCAGAGACGTGGAGAGGATTAAATGCCTAGAAAAGAGGACTTGATACTTTCCTCTTTCTTCCGCCTTCAGACACCACCTTAGCCTGTCTCTAGAACAGGCGTCTGAGGTCTGACTGGGAAGTGTCCAGTCGTGTAACCGTTCTCATTATGTCAACAATGGCTGGATACTTTCTGGAAAGACCTCGTATGTTCTGAACGTTCTGGGATTGTCCTGGTTTCAATGTACTATAGCGTTTCCACATAGATTGTTGATTTTCAGGCCACGTTTATAATTTGAGGTGCGGAAAACACGATCACTGTTCCCCAAATTCGGTATGTGGTGGCCTTGCCCCTAAGGATCCTATGTGTTCTGGGGCAGCCTATTTTTACAAACTTAAGACTGATCAGACCCTAGAAAAAGGGAGCAGTGGTCTGCAGGGAGACCTGGGGGGCAAATCCTGCTTGCTGGTTTAATGCTATTATTATTAGTCCATCATTATCAGTAGATAATTATGCGAAAAGAAGAGCTCCCAGGGCAGGCAAGTGCAGCATCTTGTGGTTGCTCTTGTGAACGTTAACAGCAGCGAAGACAACGTTCCTGATGATATTTTGGAGGCGAATGGTTTGATGACAGAGAGGGCATGAGAGCAAATCTGAAAACGAGAGAGTCCCTTTCATTCTTCCGCTGTTCCGCCTGCATCGCTGGCACCGAGGATGAACTGAATTGCCAGGGACCTTTGGGAGAGGTTGATGCCGTGGCATCCAGGTGGTCCTTTGGGGAACACCGAGCTTTGGAAACCCCTTGGTCTCCATCTTCTCCCACAAGCCATGAAAATAACATGATATCAAACAAAGAGAGTGCTATTTAGAGGTAATTTTTAGAAAATTGGCACCCAAAATATTTCGTGTTTCAGTGGGGAATTTTGATTGTAAAGACTAGATCCACTCAAGCTAGCTGAAATAAAAAGGGAGTTTATAGAAAAGATACAGGGAATTTCCAGACACGATGTGCAGCTTTGGTCCGTTCCATTCTGTTCAGCCGTGTGACACTCCCGGGGGCATGAAGGGGAGTGCTGTTCTTCCCGCTTATGCTGCCGCAGGGAATGGAGTGGGTCGGAGCTCTACAGCTCAGAACGCCCTGACTCCGAGCCGGGGCTTGTTCTGTCAGGCTAGGACAACTGGCAGCTCCAGCGTGCAAGGGCCAGGTAGATCCAGGGACAAGGGCTTCAAAATGTGCTCCTTGGGTCACAGCAGAGGACAAGGGACAGAGTTCATGTCTCCAACCTCTGTTTAGTGATGGCAATTGTGCTTAAAGGGTCATGCTGCTAAATTACAGAGGGATTTTTTTTTTTTAAGACAGAGTATCACTCTGTTGCCCAGGCTAGAGTGCCGTGGCGTCAGCCTAGCTCACAGCAACCTCAAACTCCTGGGCTCAAGCAATCCTCCTGCCTCAGCCTCCCGAGTAGCTGGGACTACAGGCATGCGCCACCATGCCCGGCTAATTTTTTTTTTTTTACATATATTTTTAGCTGGCCAATTAATTTCTTTCTATTTTTAGTAGAGACAGGGTCTCGCTCTTGCTCAGGCTGGTTTTGAACTCCTGACCTTGAGCGATCCACCCACCTCGGCCTCCCAGAGTGCTAGGATTACAGGCGTGAGCCACCGCAGCCAGCCAGGAATTTTTTTTCAGTGGCATGTGTCTTCAGGTTGGGTGGATGTTAGACCTTCTCAGTTCCATTCTTAAACCCCACTGTCACTGTTTTGCTATTCTTTGTACATGGCTTCCGACTTTTCAGAGGTGGGGTTCAGCCTGAGTTTCATGCTCTGGCCAGGTGGGGGCCTTGCAGAGGCAAGACGAGCTGTCAGACTCCGAGGGTGCTGCCTCCCTGGCTTTCTGGGGAAGGTTTTTCTCTGTTGCTCTCTCATCTCACTTTTCCTTTGCAAAGATACTGTACCCCATAAACTACTAGGCACATGCCAGTGACTACCTGGGGAAGCCCAGCTCTGCACTCTGTGTGAGGTACTGGGATCAGCGTTTGCATCTCGTGCAGGTGGCTAGCGCTGTCACGGTGGAGTCCCAGGTGTCCTGATTGTTCTCTCCCGTCAACGAGTGCCTAGATCTGGCCATGATAAAGGTCAGGTTATTTGGCTGCTGCTAAGTGAACTCTGGACTGTCTTCAATATTCTCATGGACTGGATCTTGGTGTCGAGGCAGAACCTTTCAGGGGCAGGGCTGTGACTGTGCAGCTGGTGTGAGACTCAGTGGTCACTGGTCTGGAGGCTTCCTAATCTCTTCTTGGCCTGGTCCCGAGGCTGCTTGGTGAGAAAGGTGAAAATGTCCAGTCCAGCTGTCTCTCTGAATACGCCAGGGCTCAGAGCGCCCGGGGAGGGGGTAAGCACACTGTGTGCTTGCCAGTGGCCCGCCTCACTCTGTGCTTTCTCATCACCCAGGGCTTCACCTACGTCCTGCACGAAGGCGAGTGCTGTGGAAGGTGCCTGCCGTCTGCCTGCGAGGTGGTGACGGGCTCGCCCCGGGGCGACTTCCAGTCTTTCTGGAAGAGTGTAGGTCTGGGCCCTGGGGGGAGGGAAGGAGGCAGTGACTTACCATTCTGGGGTTCCATTCCCAGAATGGCCAGCGGAGACCTTGGCTTCATCTCATTGCCTGCCCGCTGCTTTCCCCACAGGGAGTTTGACCCAGCTGTTAGGGTTATCCAGGTGTCAACTGGGATGACCTCGTCCCTTAGAACTAGTTAGGGCTGCCTCAGACTTCCCATTTTGTGGATTTGGGGAGAAGCCCAAGGCGCGCCCTAAGAGTTCTCTGACCTCCCAGGGGGATTCGTGCCCTCCTGCGCACCTGCGAATCTGGGTGGCTGCTTTGGGGATAGCCCTGCGTGTGCTGTGGGCCCGCCCCTTTTCCGGGGGGCGGCGGTTGCCGTTGTTTTTTTGGCCCCCTTCGGCCCGGGCGGGGGCTTCGATTCTTTCCCTTGTTTTCCTTCAAACCTTTTTTGTTGGTTTTGGGGGTTGGGGGGTTTTCCGGCCCGGGGAGGCAACCGGCTTTCTTTTTCCCCTTTTCCTTCGGTTATTTTTGCGGTTCCGGTTGCGGCTTTTTGCCGGGTTGCCGGCCCCGTTTTCCCACTCCTGTCCTCTCCTGCCCCAGCGCACCACGTCCCTTGCTCTAACGCAGAGCAGCTGAGCTGTCTCTGCCGCGGCCCTCAGGCGCGCTTTGGCTCTGATGCTTATCGAGCCATTTTCCTAAGCACAGAGGCGGCCTCCTGGGGAATTTGGTCCAGATGCTAGGGTAACCACAGTTCCTTACTCTGACGGAAGGACGAAGTGGGCAGAGCCGAGCCTGGCAGCCTTGGGAGCAGGTGCCAGAGGATGTGAGGTGCCCCTAAGGGCCTTCCGTCTGTCTCCTCCAAGTAGAACCAAACGCACTCTGTGTAGAGAGAGGCGAAGGGTCGCCGGCCCTGGGCCTGAATGTGCCTATCTCCCACCCGGCCCACTGCCCTTCCCCTCCACGGTGAGAGTGGAGTGACTCCCTGGGCTTCTCCATGTGGCTCTCCACATCCCCCTTGGAGTCCAAGTGGCTTGTGGGGGTCCCTTCCCCATGTCACCCTCACCATTTCGTGCCCCTGCTCCCGTCCATCCCGGACTGAGGCAGGTTTTGTCCCTCTTCCCCAGGGCCAGGGCCCGCGCAGGTCAGAGGCCACCCCATCTGGGTGGGGCTGAAAGCTGGTCCCTTGGGGGCTCAGTGTCCCCGCCCCTCTCCCCATCTCGTATCTCTCTTCATGGCGCTCTTAGCCCTGCCCTCGTCAGGGTTTGCAGAGCATAGGTGAGCTGGGCTCCTCACCTCCAGCCCAAGTCTTCATCCTGCCCAAAGACTTGGGTGCCAGCCGTGGTGTTGCTGCTGGAGACACGCCGGGGCCAGCAGCCCGGTGGCAGGGGGTCCTCTTGCTGGGTCCCGTGGCCCGGGCTCTGCCAGCAACTCGCCAGAGGAGGAGGGCCCAGAGGTTGGCGTCAGGCCTGCAGTGGGAAGGTTGGGTTGTCATGAGCCAGAACTGGGAGGTAGAGAGAATGGCTGTGTCTGGCACTTTCTGCTCCTCGTCTGGAAGGAGAAGACAGTGAGCAGGTGCTGAGAGATGTGGTCGGGGCCTGCGATGGTGGCAGAAAGCACCTGGTTGTGCACCTGGTGCTGGCCACACAGTCGGTGTGCCTGTGCATCTTCTGGGCGGGTCCTGACCTGTGGCCCTGGGCCCTCTCAGTGCCCTTCGCCTGTGGAGCCAACCCCGGAGCCCCACCCCCCACGCATAGCCCAGATGCTTCAGGGACAGATGATGGGGCTGTAGTGGTCCAAGGCCTGCCTTCCCAGTCTCCTGCCATCTCCCCATGGCTGGGCAGTGGCGCCAGGCTGGGAGTGGGTTGAGTTTCCCCTTTGCACCCCTCCCCGCAGAGTGCCCCCGCCCCGAAGGCCCACACTGCTGCTTCCCGGCCAGAGCAGCTGGAGTGTCTGGGCTCAGTTCACACCAGTGCCGAGGATGGAAGGTGTGTCCCCCGTGGCTTCCATAAGTTGCTTACTCGGCTGGCTGAAGACAGTGGCTGTAGGGGAACACGTGACTCTGAACTGGGACCCCGGGCAGGGCAACTTTGACCCAAACTCTCTGCGTGCGCCTTGTCACTCCCGCTGTGAGCCCTGCCCAGTGGTGGGACTTAGACATTAAGCCGGGGCTCACCCCCAGGGCCCAGACCAACTCCCCGAGGGAACAGCACCCTCCCCTGGGGACCCGGGCCCAGCCTGGCCCAGCACACGGGACTGACGCGGGTGCTCTGCAGGTCGGCTCCCAGTGGGCGTCCCCCGAGAACCCCTGCCTCATCCACGAGTGCGTCCGAGTGAAGGAGGAGGTCTTCGTGCAGAGCAGGAACGTCTCCTGCCCCCAGCTGGACGTCCCCGTCTGCCCCCTGGGCTTCCAGCTGAGCTGTGGGACCTCAGGCTGCTGCCCCCACTGCCGCTGCGGTAAGGCCCCGCCTTCAGGCCTTCTCTCACTTCTGGCTCCTGATTCTTTGTCTTTTTAGCAACTCAGGGCAATGGGCAGATCAAATCTTCCTGCCTGTCCTAGTGCTTGTGTGAGAAAGCAGATAAAATGGGAAACATAACACTTCCTGAAGGCCCCTACGTGCCCTGCACCGTGCTCCGTGACGGCTTTTCCCGTCGTCTCCCGGGTCCTCACGGCAAAGAGAGGTGGCACTCACATGTGTCAGTGAGTGGCAGACTGGGGTTGAACCCCAGGCTTCTCTGATTCCGGAGAGAGACCACCTTTCCAATTATGGGCTGTAATTCTCACCCAGGGGGCAGCATCCCAACTTGCCACCCCGACCTGCTGACAATCAAAGGCCAACAAGAAAAACAATTCTCTCCACCACCCTGCTCTGAATTCTTTGCATGACTTTCTCTCTGGACTCAAAGTTTCAAGAACTGAGTTTCATTCTTTCACAAACCCAAATGTCCTCGCACTCATTCTGTAAATGTAAATCCATTAAGTAGGCACTGTCCCCCTGAGAACCAACAGGGCTCTTCTTGCTGGGCGGGAAGAGTCAGGTCTAGGGGAAGGGAGACCGAACCGAAGCGCCGTGGGCTCTGGCAGTACGACCCTTGGTGCCCTGGGGGTGGGCTGGAGTGGGGAGGACCAGCAGACAGGGGAGGGAGGCCCGGACGGGTGGAGAAGGCCCCAAGGGAGCAGTGCGCACCTGTCTTGCCAAGGTGTGTCCTGGCCCTCTCACCATGCTCTCCTCTCTCCCCAGAGCCCGTGCAGGCCTGCATGCTCAATGGCACCACCATCGGGGTGAGCTGCTGCCCTCTTCTCTGGAGCAGGTGGTGGGAACAGGGAAGGGGGCATTGTGGAAAGGGTAGCAGCCACGCCCTTCTAAAGCGGAAATGAAAGGAACGAGGGAAACCTACCCCCAGCTGCACTTCCCACTGCCTGCAGCCCGGCTCTCTAGGGTTCAGCCCCAGGCACGTGGGCATTTCTTCCGCACACAGACTGCTTCTGCACTCTGAAGTTGCAGCGTACGTTGTGCACTTCCAGTCTGTCCCCTCTCCCACTGCCCCAGCTGCCTCTTTGGCATGAAAGCTCCTTCTCTCACCGTCTCCACGCTGGAGCCCCCTGGAGCACAGGGAGGTAGTGGAGCGCCTGGGACAGGAGGAGCATCACAGTGATGCTTGTGGGAGCGGTGGGTGGGCAGGCGATGGCTTATGGGGACCAGGTGAGTGGGAGGGTTGGGGGTCTGAGGGCCACGGAGGCCTGACCCTGCACCTCTGGTTGCAGCCCGGAAAGAGCGTGATGGTCGACGTGTGCACAACCTGCCGCTGCGCCGTGCAGGGGGGGCCCACCCCTGGATTCAAGCTGGAGTGCAGGAGGAGCACCTGCGAGGCCTGCCCCGTGGTAAGGGGGTGGGGACTGAGGGGCCGACTGCACACGTGCGGGGCCCAAGCAGTGGGACCTCACTGCACACTTTGAACAAATCTTTCACTATTTTCTGATTATGGACGATATTTGACAGCTATAAAGAGGACACTAAAAGTCACTCACCCAAACTGCGTATCTCAGAAGTAATTATAATTTTAGTTTTGTAAATTTTAAACATTTTCTTCTTGTGTTTTTAAAATAAACACAATTTGCAAGCCTTATGTTATTATTTTTACAGTTCTGTATCCTTTTTACACAACGTTGTAAGAAACGTCACTATTATGCTTTGAAAACATTAATATTTATCAACAGATATTTATCAGACAGTGACTATGTGCAAGGCTGTACATGCTTTTCTTTGAGTGGATGGGCCTCAACATGAACAACCAAATTTTATTATTGGACATTTAGGTAGTTTAAAATATTTCGCTCTGTTTTACCAGATCATGCTGTGTTTATTCTGAATACTTCCTTATGGTGGATTCTGAGAAGTGGAATCATTATTTCTAGCTCGATAGGAGAAAACTGGCGTTTCACGGTTTCAGCTGTGACTTTTCCTGCCCCTCCCTGGATTCTTTGAGTCCCCGTAGCAGGGCAGGACCTGAAGCTCAGCAGGAGGCCTTGGCTCCTCACTCACGCTCCCTTCTGTGTTTGGGCGCTTTCTGCTCTAGAAAACGCCAGTGCTTGGATGGGTTTCTTGTGAGCTAGATGCACAAACTCCCCCTGGGCTCTGTAGGCCGTAGGCAGGGCTGCGGCGAGGCCGGGAGGAGGCACTGACAGGCAGGGCAGCGGTGGCCGGAGCGGAGGAGCAGGTGGGAGCCGGGAGGTCGCGCGGATGCGTCCTACGCCCTTGAGGGCCAGCGGCAAGCGTTCTGGCCGTGTTCTCCGTGGCACTCAGCACAGTCTTAACAACATACGTGTGCAGGGATGGGCTACAGGAGACACAGCCATTTCTGATAGAATGGCTCAGAGTGAACAGTCCTGCCTCGATTAAAAAGAAGCCAGGTACATGTTTTTGCTTTGCTTTTTTTTTCTTTTGTAAAATCGCAGGTGATACTTCAGGATTTTGGGCTCCTATGTGTGTGTGTGTGTGTGTGTGTGTGTGTGTGTGTGTGTGTGTGTGTGACAACCTGTCTAGAATACATCTGGGCCCCGATGTGGAGTGAAATCACGCTGCCTGGAATCCCGTGGCATCCCTTTTGCCGCGAACACCCATTGCAGTGCGGCCAAGGCAGCAGGGGCAGCAGGAGGCCATCCCATGCTGCCATAGGAGAGGGGGCCCGGCCCGGCTCTAGGAAAGCCTGCTGACTCCCCAGCGCGTCCTCTGCTGCTCCCAGGGAGCCACAGTGACTCCGCTGTGTCTGGACAAATCCAGCTTTAGAACCCAGGCTTAGATGTAGGTTTCCAAATATTTAAAATCCATGGCCACTTTTGGTCTGTGTATTCTCCCTCTTTTCCTCCAAAATTCCAGTATCTCCCAGGGCAGTGTAGCCCTTAGCTTAGCCCACCCTGTGTGCACCCCTCTGCCTTGCTCAGGCCTGCCTCAGTTGGCCCGTGCTAGCTCAGCACCCTTCACTGGTCAGAAGGGGCTGGGGAGGCTGAGGCAGCAGGCGAGCTCAGTCTAGGCAGGCCTGCTTGAGCTGCCCACCGAGATGTGAGTCCTCCTTCGCCTCCCGGGGTGGGGGTGGCTCACGCCTAAGGGAGACTAGCAGATGTTGGTTCTGCCCGTGAGTGGCAGACATGCGGCTGGGCAGCTGAGCACTCCAGGGACGCGTGAGGAAGAGAGGTGACCCTGCTGTGGACCACGGAGTCGTTGTCCCTGGAGCACCGGGCTGGGCGTTGCATGGAGGACTCTCCAGGAAGGGGAGTGGTGAGCGGCAGCTGGCAGTCGGCAGTGGTGTTAGGAGGGGAAGCAGGGAGGGAGACAGAGGGCAGGGCAGGGCAGGGGCTGTGGGGGCTCCCACTGCAGAGCTTCAGGGACGACTGTGCAGGGAACGCTGGACGGCAGGCTGCTCGGGCTGAGCGAGCGAGCGCCGAGGCTGGGGGATCCGGGCTCAGGAAGGGGCTGTTCCTCAGAAGGGTGTTTCCTGCAGTGAACCCAAGTTCTGGTGGAAGCCGGCGCACCCCCCTCTGCACACAGCATGTGGACACACGGCCTCTGTCACGGCCTCCAGAAGGCTGCAGCGCCCAAACTGGTCTTCGTGTCGTGTGCAGCTGCACTGGCCTTGCAGGGCAGCAGACGTGCTGCAGGGGGCCGCTTCCTCTCTTCACTTCTGGGCCCTCCGCCTCCCTTCCCTGCCCAGCCCCTGCCACACCCTGGGAACCTCCGCCCCCTCCTGACTCTCCACCCTTTCCCTTTTCTTCCCACCCTTCTCCCATGACTGCCCTCCAGTTAGTCCGGCTTAGCCTTGCCCTCTGCCTTGCCCGTGTGTGGATTTGTTCCCTCTGCAGCCCCCTCCTCCGTCTGTCCATTTTCCTGTCCTCGGCCTGCCGAGGGGGGGCACTTCCCATCTCTTCTGACACTCTGCTACCATCCAGCCTCCAGGGAAACCCTGCGGGCGTGAGCCCCATTTGTTTGCCCTCTCGTTCGCTCCCGGTGTTCACCCCATCTCTTCTCCTTCTCTTCCATTAACCTCGGTCACGCACCTCCCCAGAATTGTGCATTTTTAAAAACATAGTTTAAAGCTGCCAACTGCCACGCTGCCTTACGGTCCTCAAAGTCCAGGAGCATCCTTGCAAGGTGGGGCTTCTGGCCGGGCGCAGGCCCCCTGTTTCTGTGCCGCGTTCTGTCCCCACTGGCTCTCGGCCCTGCTCCCTGAGACACACAAAGTGCATAGCTTGAATGGTGAGTAGCAACTTGTTCAAGTTTCCTTCTGAGCAAGCTAACTGGCTTCTAACCTTGATCTCGGGACAGGTCTTCTGTCTCATGGCTCCCAGTTGACCTGTTAGAGATTCATATTAGAAAAACCCAAGGACCCCAATGAGTGAATCTCTAAATAGTGACTGCTAACTGTGGCAAAATGAGAGAAAGAATGACAGTAGCGCTGGTTTCTCACATTACTAAATTAATTCTTTAAAAAATTTTATGATTCTCTCTTTTTTAGGGAGGGAGGTGGGAAGAGTTAAAAGAGCTTTAATTTTTATGCAATGATGTGACAGCAGATGGTAGCTTTTAGTTTTTATTTTGTTAAAATTGTTTATAATACTCTTACTTTGCAAAATAAAACGTTTGCAATCCTATATTATCTCCCAGATTTGGGGGCATTTTTGCAAATTATTGAAATCCTGCTGTCTGGAAGCTGCTGCTTTTTGCAGTGCAGATGTACGGGAAGGACCCAAGCTGCCACCTGACTCACCTCCCTAGGGAATGTAGGCGGGCCTACCAAGTGCCGGTGTTGGGGTGCAGTGGAGACCAGGGGAAGCTTTCTGCAGCATTGTATGACAGTTCCAATTTCTTCATCTCCAGTCCTTGGTATTGTCAGGCTTTTTAATTTTAGCCATTGTGAAGTGATATCTTCTAGTATTTTCCATTTGTACTTCTCTGTTGGCTAGTGATGTAGAACACCTTATATACTTATTGGCCGTATCTTCTTTTGTCAAGTGTTTGTTCAAGATTTTTGCTATTTTAAAATCAGGTTGTTTGCCCTTTTATTATTGAGTTACATGTGTTTTTTTCCCATATTGTAGATGCTAGTGCTTTAGAAGATATCTATTGCAGTATTTTCTCTCAGTCAATGGCTTGGCTTTATTTTTCTTAATTGTGTATTTTGAAGATCAGAAGTTTAAAGTTTGGTAAAGTCTGGTTTATCAATGTTTACTTATATGGTTGGTGCTTTTTGTATCTCGTTAAAGAAATCTTTGTCTATTTCAAGGTCATGAAGATATTCTTCTGTGTGCTCTTTTGGAAGATTTATAGTTTAGTTTTATGATTATGTCTATGATCCAGCAGGAATTAAGTTTTATATATGGTATAAAATAGGGGTTGAGGATCTTTTTGTTCTCCTACGTGATACCCAGTGGTCCCAGCACCATTTGTTGAAAGAATGTCCTTTCCCTCATTGAGTTATGGTGGTGCTTTTGCAAAAGACAAATGGCCTGTATATGTGTGGATCTATTGCTAGACTCTTTCTTCCTGAGCCTTTGATTAATTCGTCCATCCTTCTGGTCACACCACTGACTTGATTACCGTAGCTTTGTGGTTAAGTCTTGAAATTAGTACAAATCCTTCGACTTTGTTCGTTGTTAAGATGATTTTGACTATTTTATACTCTTATAATTTCCATATAAATTTAGAGTCAACTTGTTAATTTTTATAAAAAAATGTTTAAAGTGCACTGGATTGTATGGAATCCATAAGTTAATCTGGAGAGGATGGGCATCTTGACAATATCGAGTTTTTCAATCCATGAACATAGTGTGTCTCTCCATTTATTTAGGTCTTTGTCTCAGTCTGTTTGTGCTGCTATAACAAAATACCTGAGAGTGGGTAATTTATAAGGAGCAGAAATCTATTTTTTCACAGTTCTGGAGCTTGGGAAGCCCAAGGTTAAATGCCAGCAGATTTGGTGTCTGGTGAAGGCCTGTCCCTCATGGACGGCACTTACTCATGGCATCCTCTCAGGGCAGAAGGTGGAAGGACCTTCCCTTCAAATTCTTTTAAAAGGGTACAGTTTATTCATGACTTAATCATTTCCCAAAAGGCCTCACTTCTTAAATCATCACCTTAAGGTTTAAATTTCAACATACAAATTTTGGAGGGACACATACATTCAAACCATAGCAATCTTCTCTAATTTTTCTCTGCAATGATTTGTGGTTTTTAATGTATATGTTTTACACATATTTTATTAAACTTATTCCCTAGTATTTTAGGTTTTTGGATAATATTGTAAATGGAAATTCTAAAAAATTTGATGTTCTAATTATTTGTTGCTTTTATATAATTAATTTTTATATGTTGTTCTTATATTCTGCAG